CCCGAGCAAAGTTGTCAGCGCTCGAGGACCGCCCCCACCAGCAGGCAGAGACAAAAGAGAAATGTCGAGCCGAGCGACAGACACCTTCTCGCCGGTGTAGCTGCGCTTGGCCAGGAGCTCCGCGAGGGCTCCCTGGCGAGTCAGGTCGGCGGGCGGCCGTCCGAGCTCAGCTACCGCAGCCTGGATCATCCCCAAGCTGCGCTCCTGCCCGGCACTGGCCCGCTGTCCCTGAGGATGCGGATCAGCAGACCCGCGATCGAGCTCGTTCAGCGTGATCGCGCGGCAGCGAGCCCAGTCTTCGCAATGGGCTCGCTCCCCTCGGCGGCGCTGCCCCCGACGAGACTTCGGCTGACCGCCATCGTCGCTGCCCGTGCTCGGCAGGCGGTAGTGAGGCAAGGGAAGAAGATCACGATTGACGACCCTGCCCTCATGCGAGCCACGTACAAAGGCCGCGCTGGGGCTCATGTCCAGCGGCCCCCCTGCATACTCGCCGCGGGATCGGGGACTCCCACGGCGGCCCCATTCACCGGTCATGCTTGCCCGCGAGTCTCCGTTCCTCGCGGGCCTTCCTCATCTGTTTCATGATGCCAGAGTCCCGCTTTAGCTCGGAGGCGACGTAGGACAGCAGCTCCGGCGCCACCATCACCTCTCCGTACTCACGATGCTTCCCCGAGAAGACAGCCATCTCCTCAAGGCGCGCGCCCTTGCCGCCCTTCTTGTCCTGCTGCTTGCTGGCGTCCGACTGCCGGTAGACCTCGTAGTAAAAATACTCGATGAGCTGCATCCGCCGCACGATGTCCTCCGCCGCCGCTAGGTTCACCACGTCGCACTGGTCGTGGGTCCCCAAGCGCTCGAGGATCTTCGCCAGCGTCTCATGCTCGGACACGCCCCACTGGTCCATGGACAGCCTGTTGTCGGCTCGCCAACGCCGATCCCAGCCCACGGGCCCCTCACTCCGACGGTCGAGGAACCTCGTGCACCATTCTGCCGTCTGTGGGCCCGGCACGGGCCAGTCCGTCTGCTCGACCGCGCTCACATCGCGAGCGACGTCGCGCCAGGGGCGATGGCGGTCACCTCGAGAGTCCCTCTGCAACTTCAGCAGCCTCGCGTCATGATGGGCCTCCTTCGACCTGTACGCCTCCACATCGCCGTCGCCGATGTCCTCCATCCGCACGGATACCCCCATCAGCACGATCACTCCCTTTCGGCCCGACACCATCTCCGACCCGTTGAACGCCACGTCGTCTCCCCGGCCCACGCTGCCTCCAGGGAACACCGCACTCTCGGCCGCCACCCAGCGCACCGTGTGGACCGTCACCGGCTGCACCGTCGGCCGCGCTGGCGGCCGGAAGTCGCGGCCGACGCCCATGTGGCCCTGGAGCGCCGCTGGGCCCGGCCCGTCGTCCTTGCCATCGCCGGGGGCCCCCGGCGCGGGAGGCTGGGCCGGCACGTAGGCGGGCGCTCCCGCCGCCACGCGGCCAGCCCCGCCCGCCTGGGCCGCGGCCGGCCCGGCGGCAGCGCCGCCCGCGGCGCCAGCGGCGCCTCCAGCTCCCCACACGGCGATGCCGTACCCGCGACGCTGGTCTTCCAGCCCAGCGGTGTAGGCGCCCTCCTGCATCAGCCTGCGCAGCGTCCCCGCCGACGGGAACTGGCCGAAGTGATAGATCAGGTTCCGAGGTACCCCCTCCGGCACCTCGTTGTTCGGCCCCAACCATCGCACGGCCACGGCGTCGTTGAAGTCCTCGATGTACATATCACCATCCGGCGTCAGGATGAGGGCCCGGGAGTCCGAGGACACCAGTCCGGCGAGCACTATTCTCCAGTGCCACTCCGCGGCCCCGTAGTTCACTAGGCAGCTGCGGCCGGCCAGGTGCAGGGTGCCCTGCGGATTGCCCCGCGCCTGCATGGCACCTCGCGCAGCACGTCCCCAGAACGAAACCGACCAGCACCGCCACGCCCCCGAGCCCGCACGCGAAGCTCAGCGCCACGCGCGTCTCCGGCCAGCAGTCCTGCCGGCCCAGCGCCTCGGCGGCGTCCGCCTGGCACGTGCTCGGCGGGCACGCGGGCGGCGGCGGGCACGCCGGTGCCGCCGGCGCCTGCGGGCAGGCGCGGGCCTCTGCGGCCGGCAGCGCCGGGCAGGTGACGCTCACCTGCGGGCACGAGACCGCCGGCGCTGGCGGACACGTGCAGGCGGCCGCCGGCGGGCAGGCCGGCGATGCCGGGCACGGCGGCGGCTGGCACTTCCCCAGCCACGCGCTGCCCAGGTTGGCCACCCCCAGCACGGCGGCCTGGGCAAGCTGCCCCAGCATCAAGGGCCCCTGGCCCGTTTCCCCCCTGCCCCCCGGGGAGGGGGGGGCTCGAGCCAGGAAAAAACTACAGATCGGTGTTGACGGCGTGTTTCGGTCTTCAGCATATCATTAATCAGCAAGCTTATACAAATATATTATATATATGTGTGTGTATGTAAGCACTAGTGTGGACCCGTGGATTAAATCCACGAAGTTTGGCGGATCGAACCATGGCGGCGCGCGCTGGGTGGTGCGACGCTGCCAGCTACTGCCGTAGATCCCTTGAAGCTTGTTCTAGTGCTGCTCCCCCACCGAAGGCGCCCAATGCATCGAAACGGGGGCCGAAGTGTTCGAGCTTCGCAAGAGGCAGAAATTCAGGAGGCCAGGCCTGAGCAGCGTTGGCAGATTCGTGCCGGGATCGCGGCGGACGCGGGAGCGGGTTCGGGCAAACGCGGCGCCGTCTCGGGCCGCGTCGGAGGCGTCGGAACGGCGTCGCGGCAAAGTAGGGAGCGCAGCCGGGCAGCCCCAGGGCCACCAGAGAGTCAAAACATTTGTTTTTTGCGCCTGCGAGGGGCCTCTCGCCTCTCGTCCGCCCCCCTCTGTTGGAAGCAATGTTTGAAGCTTCTTGGGAGCCGTTTGGGAGCTCTATGGGGGCTGTTTTGGGCTCCTCGGGGGCTTCTCGGAGCCCTCTTAGGCCGGCAGGGCGCCTCGTGGGCCGTCTTGGGGCCGTCTTAGGCCATCCTGGGCGCCTATCGGGCCGTCTTGGGGCCATCGTGGGCTGTCCTGAGCCCTTCTTGGGCCTCTCGTGGGGTCCTCTTGGGTTGTCTTGTGCGCCTCTTGGGCTGTCCTGGGCCCGTCTGGAGCCATCTTTGGGCCCTCTTGGGGGCCGTCCTGGGCGATCTTGGAGGCCTCTGGGGCCGTTGCGGACGCTTCGAAAAGCAATAAGCCGAATCTGCTGAAAATGCAATTTTCGAAGGGAATGTGACGACTTTAGCTTGAAGGAACCCTTTCGGGGGACCCCTTGGACCCGCCTGGAACCGTCCTGGGGCGTCTTTGGGGCTCATGGGGCCGTCTGGAGAGCATCTTGGGCCGCCTGAGATCGTCTCGGGGCCTCCATAGGCCGTCTCGGGGCTGTCCTGGGGCCCTATTGGGCCGTCCTGGGCCCGTCTGGAGCCATCTTTGGGCTCTCTTGGGGGCCGTCTTGGGCGATCTTGGAGGCCTCTGGGGCCGTTGTGGACGCTTCGAAAAGCAATAAGCCGAATCTGCTGAAAATCTCAATTTAAGGGACTGTGACGATTCTTGCTTGATGATGCTGTTTCGGGGAACCCCTTGGACCCGCGTGGAGCCGTCTGGGGGCGTCTTTGGGGCTCCTTGGGCCGTCTGGAGAGCATCTTAGACCGCCGGAAAGCCGTCTTGGGTCGTCTCGGGGTCTCCATGGGCCGTCTCGCGGCTCTTCTGGGGAGCTCTGGTGCCGTTTCGGGCCCTTCCGGGGGCTCTCCGGAGCCGTTTCGTGGTTCTCTAGGGGACCAGGAGCCCACGCAAACACAAAGCATCTTTCGGAATTATTTGAATGGATATATATATATATATATATAGAGAGAGAGAGAGAGAGAGAGAGAAAAAAAAAAAAAAGAGACAAGGCCCGCGCCGCCTGAGAAGCAGGGTTGTTTGTAAGAAGCCTTCTCCCCTCCCCATACCCTCCTCTGCGCATTGCCAACATCTTTCACCCATGTCACCCAACAGGGCGTCCTGGAGACGGCAGTGCGTGTTCTGTATCTCAGCTGTGCTCTGTCCATCTGCTACTGCCTGGCAGGCTGCCCTCTCGCTCTGCATCTCTGTCGGCGTCTCTCTTTCTTCCCGCATATTTGTTTTGTTTTGCTTTCAAGAGAAAAAAATCTATTGACCGTCGGCCCCTAGAGGTGCCTCTTGAAGAGCTCTGGGAGGCTCCTGGAAGCTCCTGTGGGCCCTCTGAAAGGTCTTGTGAGTTCTCTTAGAAGCTATTTTGGGGCCTCTTGGGGCCTCTAGGGTAGCGCCTCGGACGCGCCTGGGAAGCTCTTAGGGCCATCTCGAGGCGGAAGTTCGACATTGTCCGTTCGGATTCCCCCTCTGGGCCCCCAATTGGGGGCCGTCTGGGGGGGGCTTTTTGGGCAGTGTTAGGGCCGTCTTGAGCCGTCTTGGGGGCCTCTTCGGCCGTATTGAGGCCCTCTTGGGAGCCTCCTGAAGAGTCCTGGTGCGATCTTGGAGGCCTCTTGGGCCGTCATGGAGCCTTGGAATCCCGAACAGGCGAGGACACAACAACCCTTCAAAACCATACTAATCAATGATGTTGGCCCAGAGAAGCGAGCTGCATACGTTCCCCCTGCTCCCCCACCCCCACTTCACTTCTCGTTCCTCCTCCGCCTCCTCCTCCTTTGCCACAACCATCCTCTTCCTCCACCCATTATTACCCGTCCTTCTCCTCCAACTTCATGTTCTCTCCTTCCTCCTCGTCTGACTCCTTCCTCCTCCTCCTCCGCCTCCTCCTCCTGCTCCTCGGAAAACCTCTCCTTTCTCCTTATCCTTCTCCTCATCCGTTTCCCATCCTCATCTTCCTCTTCCCTTCCGTTCTGCGCCTCCTCCTCCTCCTCCTGCTCCTCATCCTCCTCCCCCTCTTCCTCCTCTTCCTCCTCCTCCTCCTCCTCCTCCCTCCTCCTCCTTCAGTCGCGGACAGACCTCACGTGAGGCACCCTGCTGGACTGCATTACTGGAGTCGCCCGGATAAGCTCGTCGACCTCGTCCTGGGAACGCGCCTCGACGGTCAGCTGGTTCCAATTCGGGTCCTTTGAGGAGGAGGAGGAGGAAGGGAAGGGAAGGTTCCAGAGAGGTCCTTGCGCTCGAACGTTGTTTCTCGTGCTGGGCCCTGGAACCATCATAGATCGGCACGCTCGTGAAATCCAACATCGGGGGAGAAGGGCGAGGAATGATAAGAAGCGAAGTTAGTAGTGTCCATTTCGTCGGGGAGCACGAACTCTCCCGCGATCGTCTGGAGCGTAACCTTTGGTGGCTGTAAGCATCCACCCGGCCTGAGACCTACACATCCCTCATTAGACTGGTTCGTTCCAAAGGGAACGCCAGCATGTTGTGGATGGGGTCGAGGAGGCGAGAGGACTGGGGCAGGAGGAGCGGGAAATAGAGAAGGGGCTGTGAGCTGGGGACGTATTGTTGCAAGATATAACAAAGATATACGCGTGATCGCGGGAGCATGCGATGGTAATTCTTGGCGTAAGGAATGTGCATACGGACACTTTCGTCGTCCACTCTAAACGGTCTTAATATATCCCGAGACTTTTGTGGGCCCCAGGGCCTCGGGAAATAAGTAAGAAATGCGCGTAGGCACCAGTGGGCAGGCTGGTGTCTCATTTGATGTGCCTACTGCATCGGAGCACGAGGATTCCCAGAGGGCTGTTCCAACCGTCCGCACCTGCTTGTTGGCGGCGAGAGTGTAGCCGTCGCGCAGCTCGAAAGTGAGCTTGTTATTGACGGCGTCCCAAGTCGCCTCGTGCGTAAAGATCAGCCAATCGTCGGATTCGCCGCCCGTCAAGGAGAAGTCTATCGCTCCGCTCAGGCCGCTCGCACGCGAGATCGTCGGCAAATAGAAAATGATCCGCGCCTGGTCGGTGAGGTCGTCGTCTGGCCGTATTGTCAAAGAAATGACGGTAGGCTGCTTTGACACGGCAGGATCGAAAGATACCTGCAGAAAGCCCCACTGCGAGCCGGGATCAATGTAGGCAGTGCTCTGCACGGAGCTAACAGCGATTGCATTGGTCATCAGCAACCCGTAAGGTGCCCAGATCAGGTAGTCAGGGTTGTCCTTCTCTGAGGATGTGGGCAATGTCAGACAGCATATCTCGATCTCCGTGTCCACGCCAGCTGCGATAGTATAGTCCAACCTGACCTCGAGCTCCAAATAGCCGGTTTCAGTATCCCAAAGCGCGGGACTTTCGAACACCCCGTTGGCATACGTGTTATAGCCCACCGTTGCGTCCACACCCACCACCGCCAAATTTCTGCCGATCACGGGCAATTGCCGCTTCAACGGGTAAACTGGATCTTCCTCACCAACCGGGTTGAAACCAGGCAGCTCCAAGTATATGTACTGAATCCCAGACGACGAGCTGGTCAGCGCGGTCGATGGCTGAATGATGAGGGTCACGTTGGCGTCGGCGCCGGGGCTGTTGGGATTGAAGGCCAGCGTCGAGACAAGGAAGACAGCTGGGCACAGGTTATCTAATTCCCCAATGAACTCCTCGGCGGTGCAAACGTCAGTCCAGGGTGTTGCATCGGTCGATGCCGAAGGGCGCAGCGCAGCGAGCAGCAGCGCAGCTGCTAGCCGCAGCCCCGGGAGGAAGCCGCTGCCCAAGCGGCGCCCAGCAACAACGCTCCCAGGGTATCCAGCTGGAGGCACCATCTGCAGAACCGAACACTTACGCTTCCTCATGCCTGCTGTCACCACTTCGCCTCTGCTACCCCCTACCCTTACAAAGTCAAAGGTTCGGTAGGGATTGATTTCCTTCCAAAACTGCCGTAGCCCTCCCGAAACTCTCCGAAAATCCTCCTGGAAGGGTTCCAGGAGGCTTTCTGTTTCGTGGAGGGTTCTGGGAGAGTTTGGGAAGGGTTTTTTGTTTAGGCGTTTTTTCCTGAAGAAGCCAGTCCCTAGCGAACCCTGGGCTTTCTAACCTACCCCCCTGAAGGTAGGGGATGGAGATCGGGAAGGAGCACACCTTTCTCCTTTTGTGGGCTCAGGGGGAGGAGGAGGAGGAGGAGGAGGAGGAGGAGGAGGAGGAGGAGGAGGAGGAGGAGGAGGAGGAGGAGGAGGAGGAGGAGGAGGAGGAGGAGGAGGAAGAGGAAGACTCGAGGGCGATTGGTGCCGTGCCCACGCGCGCCCGGGCTTCTGCCACCGCGCCAGGCGCGCCGGGCCCTCAGAGCCCCCTCTTCGCACAGGCCTCCCGCGGCAGGCTCTTCGTGCCTCTGCCGGCCCCGGGCGCCCGAGACGGGCCCTCCGCGGGCCACTCGGCCCTGCAGGGATCGACCCGGAAGGTGCGTTTCGTTCTCGTGTTGGTCTCGTGTTCCCTCGCGTTGTCTTCCGCCCGCCCTTCATGCTGCAAGCCGAGAGCAGGCCGAGAACGGCGCACGGAATCGCCAGAGCACCGATTGGGTCGCCCCCTGCAAGCGTGGGCAGTGCTTCAGGCGGGGGGGGGCGATCGATTGGGGGGACGTGCACATTTCATGCCTCTTCTGGGCCAACCCTCCAGGGCACAACGGGTCGATTCCCCCCCCCCCCCTGGTTGAGAGAGGCCTCCCAGAGGGGGTCGGAGTAGATGTGGTCGGAGGATCGCGACGCATCGCTAATGCATCGACGATGCACCGACGATGCGTCGGCGGCGTCGGCGGTGCATTGGCGACGCCGGCGTGGAGAGAATCGGGCTACACATCGAGCCGCATCGCCGATGCGGCGCGATCCTCCGACCCCATCTGGGAGGCCTACAACCCTCCTCGAAACCAAATGCAAGTTGTCATGTTGATGTGCGCTCGAAACGCGACCCGCGGGGTCAGACTTTTTGTCTCTGCAGTCGCCAATTGCGGAGCGAGAGTTGGATCTTTGGGGTCCTGGGGCGCCGCCGCGACGCTGGAAAACATTGCACTTAATGTCATGGAGGGGCGTGCTCCCACCCACCTCGCAACACCCGCCAACCTGGAACGCCCGCAGCGCCCGCCGCGCCGAGGGGGCACGCGCCCCTGCCGAGGTCCCCATGGGGCTCCGGAGATCTGGGCGGCAACTGCGGCCCTCGCGCGCGGGGCCTCCGTAGCACCACCCACCGGGGTGGCCCAGAGAGGCCTATGCGGAGGCACCCCCCGTCGCCCTAAAGCCTCGAGTCGTCTTCTTCCTCCCCCGCCTTCTCCTCCTCCTTCTCCTCCTCCTCCTCCTTCTCCTTCTTCTCCTCCTCCTGCTCCTCCTCCGCGTCTTCTTCCCCCGCCTCCTCCTCCTCCTTCTCCCCCTCCTCCTCCTCCTCCTCCTCCTCCTCCTCCTCCTCCTCCTCCTCCTCTGCTCCTCCTCCTCCTCTTCCTCCTCCCTCCTCCCTCCTCCCTCCTTTCCTCCTCCTCCGTTCCTTCTCCTTATAGAAGACTTTTCTCTGCCGCACCGGGCGGGCTGGGCGTTTCGCCTGAGACTTCCTCACCACTTATGCTTCTGAAGCTTTACAAATGGCAACAATTTCACAGATGGAGGGCGGGCCGCTTTCAAAATGTAGCTCTCGCCTTAGCGACGCGCACACTCATTGTAAAACGTTGCAAGAGCTTCACATATTGAGGGCGGGCCGTTTTCAACATGTGGCTCTCGCCTTAGCGCCGCGCACATTCGTTTTAAAATTTTGCCAGAGCTTCACGGATTGAGGGCGGGTGGTTTTCAACATGTGGCTCTCGCCTCAGCGCCGCGCGCATTCGTTTTAAATATTAGCAAGAGATTCGCGGATTGAGGCCGATACCTTTCAAAATGTGGCTCTCGCCTTAGCGGCGCGCACATTCGTCTTAAACATTTGCAAGAGATTCACGGAATGAGGGCGGTTCCTTTTCAAACTGTGGCTCTCGCCGTAGCGCCGCGCACATTCGTTTAACAACAAATGCAAACAACATCAAGGAATCCCATGATCAAAGTACCAGAAGCTGCGCTTTGGAAGGGTTACGGATTATGCGGGCGGAACAGTTATGTTGATTTGTGATGTTGAAGTCCCCAACAACTGCCTTCTGGCACGATTCCGGATCGTCAAGACGCAGCAGTCAGGTTGATACGTGGCGTTGAAATCCCGAGGGCGATATTTTTGCACGCTTCAGGATCGTCGAACGGTTGTCTTCCAGCGAGGCAGTTCCCTCAATGAAAATAAACCGTTGTAGGGGCCTACGAAGAGGGAGCTTGGAGGCAGGGTTAATTCCAACATCTTTGATGGTTTCCACTGGTCCTCCTCCTCCTCCTCCAACTCCTCCTCCTCCTCCTCCTCCTCCTCCTCCTCCTCCTCCTCCTCCTCCTCCTCCTCCTCCTCCTCCTCCTCCTCCTCCTACTCCTATCCTTATTCCTTATTAGAATATACTCCTACTCCCCCCTCAGGCCGGCCATTAGGGGCCGCATCCGGGTGGTCCCATCCTAACCTGTAAAAAACAATACAAAATCAACATTTTTCTTATTTTTCCTCTCGACATGGACGTCCTGTCGTCCACGGCGATAATCCATTGCAAAAAATACCACAAAGAGCACACGCGCGCGTTCATGTCAGAATCCTACCGAACACCGTGTGTTTGCAAGCATTTCAACATAAAAACATCAAAAACCCAATGCTTTTTCACAAAAATTGTACAAATTTCCCGCCCGGGCTCTCTTGCTGAAATCATAGGAAAACCATAGGAATCTTAAGAGTTCTGTCAAATCCAGCGATTTCACGTCATCGCGCGGTGCACTCGCGATGCTCTGTCATGCACCCAGGCCGCGAATCCTGTGCAAAAAATACCACAAAGAGCACACTCGCGCGTTCATGTCAGAATCCTACCGAACACCGTGTGTTTGCAAGCATTTCAACATAAAAACATCAAAAACCCAATGCTTTTTCACAAAAATGCTTTGGGGTGTCCTGTCAGACCGTCGGGCTTCCTCCGGCCACCTCTGGCTTCCTGCGGTGTACCAGGCCATTCTCGACTCGTCTGGCAATGCGTGCGCGGCATTCAACACGCGCTCGCCAGTTCCCGTCGGCAACCGCCATCGCGGCCGCATCAGCTGTACCAAACCGGCTGGCCGGTGTGACTTCGGCCCCCAGTTGTGCCAGCTTTGCTTCTTATGTTGTGGGAGGGCGGGTGGGACTGGGCATGCCATGCTTGACTCGCTCGAGCTGGCTAGCTTGACTCCTACTCCTACTCCTCCTCCTCCTCCTCCTACTTGTCCTCCTCCTCATGCTCCTCCTCCTCCTCCTGCTCCTCCTCCTCCTCCTTCTCTTTTTCCTCCTCCTCCTCCTGATCCTCCTCCTCCCCCTCCTCCCCCTCCTCCTCTCCTCCTGCTGCTGCTGCTGCCCCTCCTCCTGTACCCCCCCTCCTCCAACTCCGCCTCCTCCTCCTCCTGCTCCTTCTCCTTCTGCTGCTCCTGCTCCTCCTCCCTCCCTCCTCCCTTCTCCCTCCTCCCTCCCTCCCTCCTCCCTCCTCCCTCCTCCTCCTCCTCCTCCTCCTCCTCCTCCTCCTCCTCCTCCTCCTCCTCCTCCTCCTCTTCCTCCTGCTCCTCCTGCTCCTCCTCTCCCCCTGAGAAGGTCCGAGCACGTCCAAGCTCCGCGGCTCGCCCCGGGGGGAAGCTGAGGGCGGCAGGCCTGCTCTCAGAAGGCGGCAAGACTTCTCGGAAGCCCTCCGGCCCTCTGAGGGCTGCTCCGCGTCTTCGGTAGCGGCTGACCCTGAGGTCCGGGCGTCTCAAGTTTTTCGAGCTGGGCGTTTTCGCCGATTTTCGGACCCCGAGGCCCTCACAGATCGATCTGGCTCGGAAAGTGACGCAGAAGATGTGGTCTAGGGCTTCGGGCGTGATGTCTTACGATGTTGCATTTTTGTCTGCTGCGTCTGATCTAAAGGCAAAAGCACTTCTCAGGAGTGCGGGACGCCTTCCGAGCCTTCTGAAAAGGCCCGCCCCTTCTCACTTCCCCCCTGGGCTCGCCGCCGCCAAGCTTCTTGATGCTCCCCTCGGGTGTTCGTTGACGCGGGGCCTTTTCGTGCACCATCCTGGCACGCAGTGGCAATTCCAGGGCCGTCTCGGGCCCCGTCGGGGCCATCCTCCTGCGATCCTCGATCCCCCCACGCTCCGTGCCCCCCTCCGTCACCGCACGCCCGACCCTCGGGAGCAGGGCGGGGGCGGGCGAGCTGGTTCCCCGCCCTCGACCGTCCGACGGCCGCCTCCGGCGGCTCCCGCGTGCATCCCGGGCCCCCCCAAACGGGCGAGGGCCAGGCCGGGCGCGGCGGGGAGGGGCACCGCCCCCCCCCCCCTGGGCGGGTCCGGGGAGCCGCCTGGAGCCAACACGGCAGGGGAACGGAGGAAAATGTGCGTGTGTGTGTGTGTGTGTGTGTGTGTGTGTGTGTGTGTGTGTGTGTGTGTGTGTGTGTGTGTGTGTGTGTGTGTGTGTGTGTGTGTGTGTGTGTGTGTGTGTGTGTGTGTGTGTGTGCGTGCGTGCGTGCGTGCGTGTGTGTGTGTGTGTGTTTGTGCTTGTGCTTGTGCTTGTGTTTGTGTTTTTGTGTGTTTGTGTTTGTGTGTGTGTGTGTGCTCTCTCTGCCCCCTCCGCTGGCGGCCGCCTGCCCGCTGCTGGCCTCGCCGCTGGCTTGGCTGCCGCCGCCTGCTCCCGCTCGCCGTTCGCTCGCTCGCGCGCCCTCGGGCGCGCCCCGTCGCGGCCGCGGCGGTCG